ATTTTGGTGACAGAGAAGAGAAGAGGAAGGTGAAGATGAAGATTATGTCCTTTTTTCATACTCGTCCTTGCCTTAGCAAGACGGAGAAACATTAAGCTTGATTCATCAGCACATTCACTTGAGAAACTGGACAAACCAATAAAATCACTGAAACGACTCTTGAACTGCAACCCACTTAAAAACAGAAGGCCATGAGGGGCAGGTTATAACCCCAAAACTTATCTTGAGATCAATGCTATACAATAGGTCCAATTTAAGAGCTATCCTGTATCAGGGAACTTTAAAGCATCTGCAAGATTTTTTTAACTGCTTGAGCAGTGCAGAGCAACTACAAGCAATTCAGCTTTCCTGCACCTTATTCCAAGATAAACCCTATATTCATCATTGTCTCTGTATATCCAAATAATTTATGCTTCATGATGTTGTTAAGTGGATTCAACTACATTGCACTCCATATGCATTGCCATTTAATCAACTAGACATCACTTCTGAAATACACAATATTGCTTAGAGGGGATGGCTCTTCTGCAGTCTCCTGCCCAGGAAACTCTTGCAGAGACCTCAGCACAGCTTTACTCTTTACTGAGGCCCTAAGATATAGCACTTTGAGATGGCTGATCTTCAAACACCTGCTCATTACTGCACTTGCTTTTTTCCTTTTTCTCTTTGGGGTGTTCTCTTCAGCTTCTGTATGACCATATTCCAGACAACTTCAGCCTCCTATCTGACATTTAGGAGGCACATCTGGAGGTATGTTTTGAAGGTTGAAAGGAACTGATGCTAAGAGAACCTACTTTCAGCGTGCTTATTCCTATGTATCTGTCAGCTGCTATATGAAAACCTGATATTGCTACAGAGCTACAGATCCCTACTGCTTTGGAATCATTTAGCAACTTCTGATTTGTGGGACAGATCTGGTCTGTGGTCAGCTTCTGGGGTACAGATCTTCAAGAGAATTCTGCAGAAAAACAGAACCTGCCTTATGTGGAGGCTCCTTGTGATAATATGTAATGTCTCCTTCGTTTGTTCCTACTAATGCCAGAAGATGTTGAATTTTTTTTCGATCCTCCAGTTCCCTGGAATTCAAAGAAGGTGGTCAGTACATCAAGACACTGTGACATGCTGTCCTCCTAGCTTACTTGTTAATGCTTATACAATTTCCCAACTGTTGCAGTTCTTGAGAATATTGCTTTAAAAAAAACTCCCAAAGACAATACTGATGTTGCAGATATAATAAAAACACTAGCAATTCTGTTGTTATCAGGAAGCTTTCCTCTCTTCAAATACAACAATACTACATAGGCTAAATACAGCAATAGCACATGGTGGTAAAGAATTTGTATTCCAGAGCTCTGAATTGCCTAAAATCCTTTCAGATACTTCATTAAATAGATTGTAAGTGTCCATTGTTTTTAAAGCAAACTACATTAAGGGCTGTATCAAACTTTTCATCACACTCTTGAGAAGTGCCAAAGCACACCAATACACATTTTGATTTAAGTTCTTAAATCTTTTACAAAAAACTTCATATTACCACTCACAAATGTTCTGAAGAAGGGTGGGAACTCCTTTGCCACTGGCAGCTGGTCTGATATAGCAGGTTATATTCAGTTCACTAAATGACGTTAAAAAGGAGTGTCTGTCAACACCATCTCATAGAGTGAGGAGAAACTTGGCTTTTGTCTGTATTTTCTATTTGAGCATAAGTGTTTTTAGGGCTGAGGGAGGAGGTTTTGCCAGGCAGGTGCAAGATTAGCATGTGAACTGGGTTAGCATGGCAAGGTTTGGGTAGCAAGGGGGCTAATGGGTGGCTTCTGTGAGAATCTGCTGGAAACTTCCCCCATGCGTGAAAGAACCAATGCCAGTTGGCTGCAAGACAGAGCCACCACTGGCCAAGCCCATCAACAATGGTGGCAGCACCTCTGTGATAACTTTTTAAGGGAAAACACTGCTACACAGAAGCAGCTGGAAGAAGAGTGAGAATATGAAAGAGAAACAACTCTGCAGACACCAAGGTCAGTGAAGAAGTATGGGGAAGAGGTACTTCAGGTGCCAGAAGACCATAATAAGGCAGGATGTCCCCTTGCAGCCCATACAAGTCCATGATGAAGCTTGTGGGAAGGACTCATGTTAGAGAAGTTCATGGAAGACTGTCTCCTGTGGGAGGGAACCCACACTGCAGCAGGGGAAGAAAGTGAGGAAGGAGTGGCAGAGACAACGTGTGATGAACTGACTGCAACTCCCATGCCTTGTTCCCCTGTGACATGCAGGTGGAGGAGGTAGAAAATCTGGGAGTAAAGTTCAGCCTAAGAAGTAGGGACGGGTGAGGGGAAGGTATTTTAAGGTTCGCTTTTATTTCTCATTATCCTACCCTGATTTTCTTGATAATAAATTAATTTCCCAAGACAAGTCTGGTTTGCCTGTGATAGTAATCGGTGAGCGATCTCTCCCTGTCCTTATTGGAATCCACAAGCTTTTTGTCGTATTTTTTTCTCCCCCTGTCCAGCTGAGAAGGGGAGTGATACAGTGGCTCAGTGTGCACCTGGCATCCAGTCAAGGTCAATTCTCCACAGTTCACCTGAATCAGAACCTCCACATTCAAACTGACAACTAACAATTCAAATCTGAATTGAAGCTTCTGATGAAATTTCTGCTCTTTCTTTTATTACTGGAATAGGAGGATTAATAAGTGGAAACACATTTAGCAGCCCAACAGATTGCATTCCACCTCCAAGCCTGGTATGATTTCATAAGAGCCCTCCCTGGGAAGTGTGGCATAATTGCTTCTCTGAAGGCTCAGATCTGGATGAGGATTAGAACATAATGCATGCAATTGCTACTGTCTGTGACCCAGTCAACCATCTAGGACAGCCCACCTGATTTTTAGCCGGTCATTCTCTGCGTAGAGGCGAAGGACATGTTCCCTCTCTTGGAAGAGGTAGACCTGCATATTACTCAAAGCCTTTTGCAACTCCGCAATCTCCTCTTCTCGCTGACGCACCTCCCACTGCAATTTGTGCTACGTAGAGAGATTAAGTTACTTGAAATGATACAGGGCATTGGGCAACTCTTACAAACTTCAAGCTGCTTGTGCCCTGAACTGGTATAGAATGACGGCCAGTTCAAGTGAATTATTTTGTTCTCTTACAAAATTTTGTCAGATGAGGAAAAATGACAGCCATTAGAAAAACGACAAAACTATGTTTTAACGGCAAGTTCAGAGCCCTGAGACAAACAACCAAATAAGGCCTAAGCTGAGATCTCCAGTTTCCAATGCTTGCACTTCTGCACTGGCAGTCAAGAGTGGCACAAATATGGGGAGTCTGATGTAAACAAAAACCTAGTTAAGCCTCTGTAACAGCACTTACTCTTATTGAAGAATAAATATTAAAATATGCTTATGGTTTAGAAGTAAGAAATCTGGTTAGTAAGTTTAATTAATGGTTTTCCACCTGGTACGGAAAGTTAACATACCTTTCAAAAAACATTCCCCTGGGGGACAAGTCACTATTTTGGAACCTGTAACTCTTTTTCCCATATCCTAGAGGAAAGTAATTTGTATGCCACGTATTTCCCAACAGGCTACTCCAAGCATGGCCAGTACTTGAGGAGGAACCTCAGAAGTGATCGCTGTGTTCACTACTGCAAAGATGATTGCTAGACAGAGGTATTCTCTAAGGCATATCAGAGCCCTGAATATCTTCCAGATATTCTGTAAGGATTTCTCCTCTGAAGAGACAAAGATTTGTAAGGCTTGGAGTTTCTTCTAAATTTTACTTTATTTGCTGTGTAGTATACTGCTTGATAGCCTATGGCCAAGGTTATGAAATGCATTACAATAAATATGAATAATATCTGTATCTCAAAAGCCCATTAAATTTGGACAAAAGGGAGAGCATTCTTCACAAGGTAAGTAAGTTGGGAAACATGGAAACTGAACATCTAAACTCAGGCTTATTTAAGTATCAACAACAACAGAAATGAACAATGCACTGTGAGGATACAGCCAAACTATAACAACCTAAAAAGAATATCCTACATGAGTGTTTCTGTTTGTTTTGACAAAGGACAGGCAGCTAGACTTCACAATCAAACACTGAAATCTACTTATTTCTTCTTAGCTCAGTTCTACCACATCACTGCTAAATCTTAAGACCATCCGTATGGAGTTTTCAACTGAAGAAAAATATGAAGTTTGTGTAAGGATACGCAGCCCATCGTAATTAAAAAATTGCTTTCCTAACCTGCTCATCATATGTTTCTTTGTATCTCTCCAGCCTTTTTACCAAGTCTTCATGTTCCTCATCAAAGTCAGCAATCCTCTTGCGGTAGTATTCCAGCAGCTCCCGGGAAGGATGGAGAAAGGCCAAGCGGTCACTGATTGAGGGGAGAGGAGTAAAGTCCTCCTGACTTGGAGACCGAGAACATCTGGAGGAGACATGGGGGGTTGCCAGCCTGGACAGAAACAGTTTTTAATGACATGCAAGCTTCAGACAATAAAACTAAAAATTTTTTAATTTTTAATTTTTTATTTTTTTTTAACACAGGTTCAATTTCAAACACAGACCAGCTTGTCTGTGCTCTGGGTTCTAACAGATGGCAGCATTTAGGAGAGCCAAAAGCTTTGATACAGAACAGCAGACAGCTTACTATACTATGGAGATGGGGCCAAATGATAGAAAAGCGAGAAAGAAAAAAGTCTCACAGTTATTTGGGGAGGATGAACATGAAAGAAAAAGAACAAAGAGAAGGAGAGAACAAATGGGACAAGAAGTACATCGTTGTGACATTACATGCATCAGCAGCCACTGTGAGATAAACAGGAAGATGATCTGTGACAGAATCACTATCTGATAACCAGGGAGAAAAACACTTTCTAAAGAAAGTCTGTTGAATAAAAACCATAATTCAGGTTAGCTGATACACCAGACACCATCATTTAAGGAACAGGTCCAGGAACCTACATGCTTTCCTTTATGGTGTGCTTCACATTCTCAAACACATAGCTTGTGCACCCCCAAATTCTTTAATCATGAGGTACCAGATGGAAAGCATGCCAGTGAATTAACTTAAGAATTTATCTGTGCAATTGCATACCTGAATCTTTTTGAAGCGATGTTTACTGGATTCAACCATTTAATCTACTCAGACAAACATCAAATATGCAAATAGAGCTGCACTCCAAGTTCAAAATTGTCTTGAAAAGTGTTATTTTGATTATTTATATTGATCAGACAAACAGTTTTTTAAAAAACATACTATGAGTAACAGAATTAAGGAAGCCTCTTTACTTAAGATCTGCTCAACAAACACAATTCAGAATTTGATTCTACGGACAGCCCCAGAACTTTGATCATGCAGTGATCTCACAGGTGACACTGAGGCACCTGTGACCCTCACAGACCAGCTCGCCAAAGCTGCTTAAATCAGAATTCCAATGTGCTACCATCCATGAGAGTGTGCAAAGCTCTGTAACTCCTAGCACTAAAGGAAGGTATTAAATACACAATGTAATAATTCATGTAGGAACTTTCCCACCAGCTGTGCCCAAAAATGCCTTAAACAACACTCTTGGAAAATAAAACAGCAACAGAAGAAAACAAGTAACAGGCACAAGATGAATACTTTATTACTGAATTAAAAAAAACAGTAGAAATGGAGAGGCCTAAGGATGAGGAAAGCCAGCAGGCCCAAGAGCAGCCAAAACGGTGCCTTAAGCGTGGCTACCGGACAGAAAGAGAGGGGCTCCGGGCCCAGGCTAACCACAGAGGCAACCCCCACGCTACCTTCTGGAGGGAGAGGAGGCCG